TATTTCTAGGTGTGTCAAGGTTGAAGAGAAAAAGATACATGGATTAAAAGTCATGATCACCATGTATTACTGGAAGATATTTTTTCATTAGCAATTATGGTGTGTTGCCTAAGGGAGTGAGTGAACCAATTATCGAAATAGGAAATTTTTTCAAGAATTTATGTTCTAAGTGCTTGACAATTGAAGATCTTGATATCTTAGAGGCTGAAATTGCTATCACATTGTGCAAGTTCCAAATGATTTTTCCTCCTGCGTTTTTCGATGTCACGGTTCATTTGCCCATTCATTTGGCAAGAGAGGCAAAACTAGGTGGACCAGTTCAATATCGGTGGATGTACCCTTTTGAAATGTAACGTGTTATCCTTTAAATTTCAATATTATAATTTCAGAATGTCACATTGTTTTTAACTAGTCATTTGTATACAGGTATTTGCGAATACTTAAGTCGTATGTTCGTAACTATGCTCGTCCTGAAGGCTCAATTGCAGAAGGTTATTTGGCAAAGAAAGCCTCACATTTTGCTCGCGCTACTTAAAGAATATCTCAACCAAGTTCAATAGGCCAGCTAGGAATGATGATGAATCTGTGTCACATGGTGAGATATCTATCTTTAAAAATTGTGGACGAACAAAAGGTGGTTCAGATCCCGCCCCGCTATCTCGTGATGAGTTAAACCAAGCATCCATATATGTGCTTCAAAATTGTGAAGAAGTTTGGCCGTTCCTTGAGTAAGTTTCTGGAGAACTTCAAGATAATTTTGTGTTAGGATAGTTCAATTATGTTTTCCTAACTAAGCCATTATTAAAATGTAGGGAACACACTAGAGAGATGGAAAGACAAAGTGGAATAGGGGATGGAAGGCAGAACAATGACTTTTTTTATTGGTTTCGTGCACATGTAAGTGATGAATAAAATGACATGTTGAATATTAATGTTATTATCACATATGTTATTGATTACGAGAGTATTGTTTGTCTTTTGTAGATCTTACAACTATCTGCACAAGGACATGCAAATGATGATCTCATAAGCTTAGCACTCGGTCCTGGACCTCTAGTGCTTCGATATTCCACATTAATGGTGAATGGATTTAGATTTCAGACAAGAGATATAGAGTCGAGAAGAAACACAGAATTGTGGAGTTCTTGTTAGAGGAGATGATTCAGACTCAACAAAGGAGTATTACGATATATTGGAGGACATTTACGAGTTATCTTATGTTGGAAATAAGAAATTTTACCTCTTCAAGTGTCATTGGTGGGATGTGGCTCACTTAGGAAAGGATATAAAATTGACAAATATGGCTTCACAAGTGTGAATACCCGTTGTGCCTTGAATACAAATGAGCCATTTGTGTTGGCATCTCAGTGTGAACAAGTTTTCTATGTGGACGACATGTCTAACAAAGATTGGCTTGTTGTTGTGAAGACAAATCCTCGTGACCTTTTTAATATGCCTGAAAAGGATATTAATTCTACAGAAATTGAAGATGGAGTATTATCGAGTGAAGATGCTTATCAACAAGAGCAAGTTGAAATTAATACATCGCGCATTCATGCTCAAGAAATTGATATTGTGGTGTCCTTATATAGGGATGATGTTCAACCACAAATTATTGATTATAACCAAGTGACTGAAGCTCAGACAACTGTGCATAATGAGGACGATGGTTTCATTAATGACGATCACATGGATCTGTATAATAGTGAACAAAGCGATGAATTGTTATGCATAATTGCAGGGGCAACTCCAAGAAATTGTGGAGCAATAACAATTTGAAGAAAATCCGATGAATGCAGATGAGATTTTAGTCACCGTACTTGGCGAACGAACTGGCTATGTTCGTGTGAAAGGGTACGGAAAAAGACCTGCAAAAAAGAGTCGAGTGCAGCAGGTTGAATTAGAAGCAAGTATGTCTTCTGCAATGGAAAGTATGCGTCAAGATATGCAAGCTGAAATGGACAGAAAATTACAAGAAGAACGTGAACAAGCTGCTAAGTTGCAAAGAAAGTTAGAAGAACAAATGGCTGCTGAATTGTCACGGAAGCTAGAAGATGATCGTTTTGAGTTACAAAGAAAGCTAGAAGAAGATCGTGCTGAGTTGCAAAAGGAACTAGAAGAGGAGCGCGCACACATGAATCTACAACTTGACAAAAGATTTAAAGAGCAGATGGCTACGATGATGGCTAGAATTCAAAAGGTAAATGCTAATGTTTCTATACTCTACAGATGTACTATACAACTGTTAATACAATGCTGCTAGTTTCATTTTACATATTAGTTTTTGTTAAAGTATGTATATGAATCGAAAGTATAAAAATTCAGATTACAACTACTAACATACTCAGAAACCTTCAACACTACAAAGTATAAAAATTCAGTTCATATAGCCTCTCTATAATCGCAACTCTCTGTTATGTATAATGTATAATATGACCGTTGCGTAAAATTGGCACAGCTCATGCAGCTAATTTGTCAATCCCCTGGCTCATTTGAGTTATTGTTCATGATTCAGCTATTGAAGCCCAATGGAATTGGTTTTTTTTAAAAGTGTCAAAGTATGTGGCAACCCTAGTAAGCGCGTTTTGATTTCCATTGTATTACTCTGCTCATCTCGATCTAGCATGAAATACATGTTAATGAAAACTGATACAATCAATTGACGAGCATATTATAACTTGTACTTTTATACTAACTACTCGGGACTAAGCTTGAAACAGAATCTAGTCTGAACTCTTATTGCATACATTCTTTCTATCTCGTGTTTCTGTAAGCTTTTGTGTTTGTATTACTGGCCTTACCTTCACTAACTGATTTACTAGTGTTAACATCCATATGTACACCCTTTTGCCCAGTCTTTTTAACGCCTAAATTCTGGTCCTTAGTAGCCTGTTGAACCAGAAAATGAAAGGTTGTTCTCTGGGCCTGTCTTTTGCTCCCAGAGATGCTGGTTCGAGTCCAGCTCGTGAAAGAGTTTGTGAGTATACCTCGGGATGACCCCTGCTCGCTTTCAGCTAAACTATTTGATAGATTAGCCTCTATATTGTTGGTCTTAACGCCTGAAGACACTCTTCGATCAGATGCTGCATTATTATCCTTAACAGGTGCATAATCTCGATCAATATCAACCTTTAGGCTTGCAGCAGTTGACATTCCAGTGATCACTGGTGCTGCACTTTGCCCAGGTATTTTACTGCCTACCATATGGACCTCACCTTCAGTTACAATATGTGGATCCTTAGCATCTGAATTATGTCCCATATCACGTCTATCACCACCTGCCTTAAATTGCCCAGACTCACCATCTCGATCAACAACTTCCATTAAATTTGCAGCAGTTGGCACAACAGTTGCATCATTAGAAGAATGCAACTTATCATAAGCCTGAACCACTGGATTTACAGCGTCAAAAATTCTTGCCAAAGCTTGTCTTGCAGGAACATCACGAGAAGGTTTAGAGGGACCTTTATCGACCATTGAAGCCTCACCAACTCCTTCACGATCATGACCTGCATCTCATATAGACACACCTTTAGTTATTTGATTCTTCACAGGCTCATTGTTCATGTTACTAACTTGACTGCCTTCTGCAATTTGCACAACCTGCTGCTCGACATTTTCTCTTGCTGCTTCACCTCCTTGCTTCCCCTCCTTATTCACTCCTTTACAATTAACAACAGGACTAGCTTCCACCACATGATCATCAGCCCCCTTTGGACGTGTACCAGGTGATAATATAGCGGCAGCAGTAGCAAGCTTATCATAAGCTTGAACTACTGGATTTACAATATTGGACACCCTTGCTAAAGCCACCTTAGCAGGCACATCTCGAGAAGGTGGATATGGACCTTTGACAAGCTGTGAAACATCACCAGCAGAGTTACCAAAAGCAACTCGATTATCATTGTTCTGATTAACAACTTCTTTTCCTCCTTTATTTTGTAACACCTGCTTTCTCAACCAATTTATTTTTTTCTGCTTCCTCTATCAATTTACCTTCTGTTGCTACTCTTTCCTTACCTCTTTGTTCTGTTCTTTTAGCATTTAGATAATCCCTGACATCCCCTTTCAGCCGGTCAGTCATGGAGACATCAACAATTGGCAGATTACTCTCCACTGGTGCACCAGTTTTGTCCATCTCCTCTGCAACTTGACTCTTCATTACTCGACACGATTTTTTCCTGTGCCCTTGATGCTTGCAGTACGTGCAATAACTTGGAAGATTGTCATATACAACTTCTTGATACAACACGACTGTTTTACCAGTAACTCTGTCCACCATCGGAATTTTCACCTTTTTAGGGTGTTTGTCCAGGAGATCAAGAATGATCTTCACCCTTGCAGCGCTAGGCCTTGNATATATATATATATATATATATATATATATATATATATATATATATATATATATATATATATCATCCCCTGCTGGTTTATGTCCAATAGTAGAACAAATATAAATTTGCATAATTATTGAGAAAGTAATCTGCACATTTTAATCCGTAGCATTAGATAAAATATTTAATAGTTTGGTAAACTGTAATAGCTATAATTTAATTGCCTGATCACACATGACCATGGTTTACGTCATTATACATTGATTTAGTATCGACGATACACTTTGCCTTTAGAGATTAAATTTTGTCCCTTAGAATTTAGGATAATTGTTTGGAGATCGATCACATGTTATTGTCAACTTATTTGATTTCCTATGTAATTTAGTTCCTTGTATCCTATGTTATTTGATTTCCCATGTAATTTATTATTTGATTTGCACTTTAGAGGTGAATTAATGTTAGTTATTCTATACGACCAAATGCTGGTGTTAAATTAGTTTTTAGAATATTCAATGTGTTCTCATTTACTATGTTTCTAAAGTCTTATATCCTAGTATTTGTAGTCGTATAGATGAGTTCAACACTTGCTTATATAACGTGGTTAGTGTTGATTAGTGGCGTGCTTACATTTTTGATTGCATTTTTTTTTTGTAGAAAATAGCAATGGATAAAAGTTGGCTGAATATTAAGAATAAATATGATAAAAGGTATATTAAAGGAATAGATAACTTTCTTAATTGGGCATACAGTCAACCAAATGTGAGCACTGTGATCAGATGTCCTTGTAAAGGGTGTAGAAATACAGAGTACATGTTAAAAATCCAAATAAGAAGACACTTGTTGAGCAATGGATTTTGGGATAGTTATAAAGTGTGGGACTTGCACGGAGAGGTATTGGTAAGAGTTGAAAATTCTGATGTGATAAACAATGATGAAGTAGAGGATGATAATGCTGAAGAAGATGATATTACTGGGATGATTCATGATGCTTATGGATATGCGAATACAGCTGATGCAAATAATCTTCCACACCATAATGAAGAACCAAATTTGCAAGCACAAAAGTTCTACCAATTACTTGAAGATGCTGAGACAGAACTTTATCCTGGTTGTAAAAGTGTGTCCAAGTTGTCTTTTGTGGTTAGACTACTTCACTTGAAGTGCATTAATCATTGGACCAACAAATCAATGGATGACTTGTTGAGCTTCTTTAAAGAAGTTCTTCCGGTGGAGTCATTTGTTCCAAATTCTTTCTATGAAGCAAAGAAAGTACTTCGAGACTTAGGCTTGGGGTACACCAAAATAGATGCATGCCAGAATGATTGTATCTTATATTGGCGCGAGCATGCCAATGCACAATCATGTCCTAAGTGCGGTGAGTCTAGATGGAAGTCAAAAGAGAATGGAGGCAAGAAAGTAGCTCATAAAGTCTTGCGACATTTTCCTATCAAACCAAGACTGCAGAGATTATACATGGCAAGAGAGACAGCAAAAAAGATGAGGTGGCATAAGGAGGAACGTGTTGATGATGGTATCTTGCGACATCCGTCTGATGCAATGGCATGGAAATCTTTTGATGAGAAACATCCCAGCTTTTCTGCTGAATTAAGAAATGTTCGATTAGGTTTAGCAAGCGATGGGTTCCAGCCTTATGGGAACATGAGTTCCAACCATACCATAAGGCCAGTCGTACTAGTTCCGTATAATTTACCCTCCTGGGATTGCATGAAGAGTGAGTATTTCATGATGACACTTCTTATTCCAGGTCCTAAGTGTCCAGGCAATGATATAGATGTATTTTACAACCGATGATTGAAGAATTAAAAGAATTATGGGAAGGAGCAGAAACTTATGATGCATACTCAAAATCTAACTTTATGATGCGCGCGGCTATCATGTGGACAATTAATGACTTTCCTGCATATGGGAACCTTTCGGGATGGTCAACCAAGGGCAAATTTGCATGCCCTTGTTGCCACAAAGATACACAATCGATTTCATTACGTAGTACATTGTGTTATATGGGGCATCGTTGCTTCCTTCCATTAGACCATCCATGGCGCAAAAATAGGAGGTTATTTGATGGGAAAGTGGAAAAGGGAGTTGCACCTAGTCCTTTAACAGGTGATGATGTACTTATGCAACTACGAGGGTTTGGTAATGTGAATTTCGGTAAAGGGCAAAAGCGAAAGCGTAATGCCCCTAATAATGCTTACAATTGGAAGAAGAAAAGTATTTTTTTTGAATTGCCATATTGGAAGACACTTTTGTTATGACATAACCTTGATGTGATATAGAAAAAAATGTGTCCCATAACATTTTATCAATTGTGATGAATGTGGTTGGGAAGACAAAGGACACGTTAAAAAGTAGGTATGATTTGGTGGACCTTGGTATTAGGCAAGGTTTGCATCCAATTCAGGATGGGAACAATGTGTTGTTACCAGCAGCATGCTACGCATTATCCCCAGAAGAGAGATGAGCTGAAAGTGTGTAATTTCTTAGCTAATTTGAAGGTTCCTGATGCCTTTTCATCGAATATTTCTAGGTGTGTCAAGGTTGAAGAGAAAAAGATACATGGATTAAAAAGTCATGATCACCATGTATTATTGGAAGATATTTTTCCATTAGCAATTTATGGTGTGTTGCCTAAGGAAGTGAGTGAACCAATTATCGAAATAGGAAAATTTTTCAAGAATTNTATATATATATATATAAATAAAACTTAAATAGGAGGAGTAGTCAGGTCCTGCGAACTTCAAGCAGCTACCTCAACAACTATGATAAGCTCTGGAAAACAAAGACTGCTCAGCTAAGCCTCCGGTGCACCTGAATCTGCACACAAGGTGCAGGGAGTAGGGGTGAGTACTACCGACTCAGTGAGTAATAAGCATATAAAATGTCTGAAGATAAGAAATCCACGAAATGCCACAAAGTAAAGCTAAAACTAACAGTCCAACACCTAACTACGAACTAACAGCAGAACAACTTCAAATATATCAGTCAAGTATAATGTAAAGATGCAATGCAATGCACATGACCGCTACGGCGCGTAGCCCGATCCATTTAACGTCGACGGCGCTCACTGGGGGTGTGTACAGACTCCGGAGGGGCTCCTTCAGCCCAAGCGCAATATAATCATACCATTCGCTGCAGCGTGTAGCCCGATCCATACTCAGTCCACAATATGCATATGAGTCACGTAACAGATTCAATTAATTTCCCAATTTCCAATTTATTAAGAAGAATATACTTTAGATATTTAACTTCAGGAAAAGTGACTTAGCATTTTATAACAGTGATTAAACGTAGGACTGAGATCAATGATTATACAAAGCATGCTATCACAATGACATTCAACCTCTAAGGATGCTACAGATCGGCACAAGGCCCCAAACACGGCAATAAGCCCAGATATATTCAATACAGGGTGCGTATCAGTCGCCAATATAGAAACATTCTTGTTCGGGATGGACTAAGTCTCAATGCCCAGTCATAACTAATCCCGCACCTGCCATGGGGTGCGCCCTACAATAGCGTCACAATGTGATAAGCCAGGGTTTCAAACTACTCACCTCTATCCGGCCGTAGAATGGTCCGCAATGCCTTTTCCTTTCGTATCGACCTCCTCGCGCGTCGAATCTAGTCAAAATCACAACGAATACATAAATATGGGTTAAGGAAACATAACCCAATCAAAAATACTCAAAAAGTACTAAAATTTACGAAGTTGGTAAAACCCGAGCCCCGGGCCTACTTCTCGAAAAATTACGAAAATCACACCAACAGATTCTTCATCTCGCCACGAGTCCGTGCATATAAAGTTTACCAAAATCGGAGCTCGTTTGACTCTCCAAATTCCATTTTTACATCACAGCTTTCCAAGCCCTAGCTTGACCCGTTTTTGATGAAATTCTACTGATTTCTATGATAAATGTACCAGAAACTCGAGTAATTAGGCCAAGAGACTTACCTCCAAGTGATTCTCAGTCAAAACCCTCGAATTTCCTTGTTCAAAGCTCTTAAGAACGTCAACAATGGAGGAAAAATATGAAAGGGTCGCGGATGAAATATTATTTTAAAACCCTTCTGTCGCCCAGTCCAGTTTTCGCTTCTGCGGTCCCACTTTCGCTTATGCGGGACCGCTTCTGCGGCCACATTTCCGCCTTTGCGATCTTCACTTAGAAACCCGAACTTCGCTTATGCGACGCGAAGTCCGCTTCTGCGGTTCCCTCAAAACCGCTTCTGCGGTACAGTGTCCGCTTATGCGGACCCGCTGGTGCGAGCCACCTTCCGCTTCTGCGGAATTTCCCTAGCCGGCCAACGACCGCTTCTGCGACCACGTACCCGCTTCTGCGGTACCGCTTCTGCGGTCCATTTCCGCAGAAGCGGAAACACCAGATGACAGCAAAATCTGACCTGCAATACACCTCAAAACTCTCGTTTAACCACCCGAATTCACCCCGAGGCCCTCGGGACCTCAACCAAATGCACAGATATGTTCTATTACTTCATTCAAACTTGCTCGTAACATAAAAACACTATCATAAACACCAAAATCATCGAATTACCACGGATTCAAGCCTAAGTTAAACTAAAACTTCCGAAACTTGCATTTGATCTAAAACCCGACCTAAACACCTCCGAATGATCTGAAACTTTGCACGCATATCCAAAATCACCTAACAGAGCTACTGCAACTCTCAGAATTCCATTCCGACCCTCGGATCAAAATCTCACCTACCATCCGGAATTCGCCAAAATCCAACCTTAGCCAATTCAAGCCTAATTCTACACCGGACCTCCAAATTCAATTCCGATTGCGCTCCTAAGTCACAAATCATCCCCCGAAACTAGTCGCATCATCGGAAATCTATTCTGAGCCTTCTAACTCATAAGTCAACATTCGGTTGACTTTTCCAAACTAACCTTCTCATAAAGAGACTTTGTCTCATTTCTAACCGAACTCTATCCGAATTACTTCAAATTCTCCAAACACATATAATGAAACATATAGAAGTATAAAACGGGGAAAACGGGGCGGTAACTCCTGTGACGACGGGTCGGGTCGTTACATGCTGTGTTGCGTTGCGTTTTACAAATAGCGCTCGCCTCTACCTGTGTAGCAAGAGGCGACACTGTAGCGAGATGCGATTGTAGCGTCGCTTTCTGATCGAGCAGCTGTCAAAAGAACAGAGTATGTTTTTGCTAAATTTTTCTTCCTTCTTCTTTTTCTTCTTCTCTTCTTCTTTTTTTCTTTTGCTCTGTTTTTTAGCGAGCAACACCCTGTTTATGCTCTGTTCTGACTTCTGTCTTTCTTTTTGTTCTTCAGTTCTTCTTCCCTTCTTCTTTCTCTTTTTGCTCTGTTTTTTGTTTTTCAATTCCTTCACAGCTTCACTGTGTTAAAGTATGTATATGAATCGAAAGTACGCCTGGTGCAGAGAATAATTTCACTAGTCGCCTGCTGCGATATTTTGTGTGCTTGTGCAAGCAGTTCATTCCTTTTAAGAATAGGACATTTGGTGAAAGCAACTCCTTCTAAGAATATTTTCATTAGATTCCTTCATTTGCCTTGTCCATGAATTTAATTTGTTGCAAGTGAGATGCAGCAAAAGTTGCTGAAAGTTGGAGATGCTGCATAATTTTGTGCCTATGAAGGTCATGTGTCGTTTTATGTGGCTTTTCGATTTTCCGAATTCCAATCTTGCTAATGTTCTTATGATCTAAAGATTCCTAACTCTTTTAGAGGCCAGGAGATCAAAAGTACTGCTTGCTTCTGACTGTTAAATAATACTGACTGTTGAATACGAATTTTACTACTGCTTGCTTTTGAAGCTAAACAATTGCAGCAGCTCATCATTAAATAGTCATATTCTGGATGCTATATGATTGTTAAACATATATTCTTTTGCGCGCAACTTCTTGCAACAAATCCAATAAAGGGAGAGGGAGATACAAATCTTTACTTGTAGATTTGAAAACTAAGCATGGTAGTAAAATTCCTATTGTCATTCCAGATGACATTGAGAGAGCTGTAGGTCCCGGGTCTAGGGACATTGTTAACTATTATGGTTTGATTATGTGCAGCACTATCTCATTCAGAGATGGTGATTGGCAAGAAATAATCACAAAACATGGAGATGCGATGTGGTTGAAGGTTAAGGTAATGATTTGTTAATAAAGGTTATATCGACTTTTTATCACACGTTTTATTTACTCTCAAAAGCTTTTCGTATTTGCATTTAGGATAAATTTGAAGCTACCGGAGTTCGAGAGCATGTATTGCAAGCTCTTGTGGTCAATACTATGAAAAGACTTTTTAGAACATGGAAGACTCGATTGCATGTTGAATACTCTCGCTATGCTACTGATGAAGAGAGATTATCTCATAGGCCAAGTGATGTTACACCTGAGGATTGGGTGTTTCTGTTAGGACATTTTGGAAGTCCGGAATTCAAGGTAACTTGGTAATATAAATATGTGACAAATTACTATTTCAATTCTGGTTCTTAATTTATGGATATAATTTCAGGCTGTGAGTGAGCGAAACAAAATAAACAGGGGAAAACAAATCACTAAACACTCATGTGGCTCAAAGTCATTTGCTGAAGTGGAGGAATCAACGGTACAAATTTATTTAGCACAATAATATTTCATATATTTGTCATTCTTTTTTAGGTCGGATTGGTCTTGATCAATGATCATATAATTAATATCAGCTTGCTTTTTTGTCAGCAAATTAAACTGATAAGAAGTACTTATAATTCTGGAAGATAACATGGCTCATTCCCGCATTCATAATTGTTTAACTG